GTCTCCTGGTGATTTTCTCAAAGTTGGCTTTCATGCCTAAAGAGATTCCAGAACTCACCGTCTCCTGGTGATTGGCCCAAAGTCACCCAACCGTCTTTCATGCCTAAATACAATATCAGAGTCAAGTGTCCCCAAAATGCTGCAAACAGTCATAAGTGCGCCCCAAATGTGACCACGTGGCCATCAGCAGGGGATGAATGGCCATCAGAACTTCATAACTGGGTGGTGAATACCTATTGTGGGGGAGGGGTCCATTGTAACTTTGAATGGTCATTATGCAACCAGTCGTAAGTCGAGGACAACCTGCATGTAGGACAAGCCGTGGACCCAGCATGCCAACTCTGGTGGATCCCCCAAGGTTTTTGAGGGAAAACAGCTTCCTGATCTTCTGCCAAAACTGAAGACAACCTTTCTCTGTTTTGTTTTATTTTAAATCCAGGGTGGCGTGATTGGCATCCAGATTGAATGGGATTGCAACCTAGATAAAAAACCGTCAGAATGCAACCCTCACTATTCTTTCAGTCGCCTAGATAACAATGTTGCGGAGAAGTCCGTCTCCTCTGGATACAACTTCAGGTGAGGGAGAAGGAGGCGTTTGGCCGAAGCATCCTCAAGTCTGCAACTTCGGCGGTTTGATTTTTCTGAAATGGCTTTGGTGGCCAAATTCAAATGGGATTTAATTGATCAGGTCAGCCAGGCTGGAAGGAGGAGTCAAGTGAGGACCTAGCTTGGAATCCTTGCATCACGGCAAGAGGCATAAGTTTGAACTACCTGTTCTGACCCAGCTCGCCAAACAGGACAAACCCTCTGATGTGAACTCAAAAAATTCCTTTATTAGGCGCGCCAGCAGCCCCGCCAAAAATGTTTTTCTCCCGCCGCGGGCTAACCAGTCCATCCGGCATGGAGATGAATAGTTGTCTGCCACATCTCCGCCCTCTGCCGTTTATCCCGAGCTCGGGTGGGGCTTTGCTAGCAGCAATGGCCCTTCCGTCCCAAGGACCATCCCATAGATCTCCACTGCTCTCCTCTCCTCTGTTTTCTGTGCATCTGTGCGTCAGGCACTGGACCCAGCTGTTCCTCCTCTTCCTCATCAGCCACCTCCAGATCTGGGGGCTGTTGACTATCTGATGGATGGCCCAGGTTTCACCTCTTATGACCCCGATTGAGCTCAAAATTCCCATTGTTAAGTGAGTGAGTTTTGCCCCATTTTACGCCTTTCTTGCCACGATTGTTAACCGAATCACTGCAGTTGTGAAGTTAGTAACTGTCATGCCCTTGTTGGAGTCTGACTCTGAGGGGGAGATGGAGCAGCTGACAGGGAGTGGGAGTGTGGCTCCGGTGGGTGTGGATGAAACGGCGGAAGGGCACCGTCCAGCTGGGCATTCAGAGGCAGACCCAGGCCCACCCCCTCTTCATCCTAGGGCACGCAGGGAGGAATGGAGAAGGGAGCAACGTGGCTTACGAGAGAGGAAAAGGCCCTGATCCCTTTCATTAGTTGAAGCTGGAAGAACGGGGTATAAGAGGGGCGTTTTCACACAGCTCCTTGCTTGGAAGCAAAGCGTGCATTTTCTTCGTCGAGGCTTATCTGGGTTTTGGCGTCCTCCTAACTGTGGTTGTTGCATTATCTTGTGAAAGTCTGCAATTTATCATCCTGGCCTGCCCTTTTAATTACTTCAGTGTGGTTTGTGTTGGTTTTTTTTAATTATTTCTAATTATCTTTACTTTTGTTTCGGACTGCATTTACTCCATTTGTAGACTGTTTTTGGAAGAGTTTGATATCCAGCAAAGGATAATTGGACATTGGGGCCCAAGTTGGAGGCATTAAAGGGAATTTATTCTACTTTGTGTTATTTTTGTGTCGTGCCCCGGGTCATCGCAGTAACGCGGCTGTTAAGTGAATCTGATTTTCCTCACCAGAAGGTCGCAAAAGAGGGATCACATGATCCCAGGACATTACAACTGTCATAAACCCATGTCAGTTTCCAAGCATCTGAATTTTGATCACGTGACCATGGAGATACCGCAACGGTTGTAAGTGTGAAAAACTATCATGTCCCCTTTTTTCAGTGCCATTGTAATTTCAGTCACTAAATGAATGGTTGTAAGTCGAGGACTGCCAGTAATCAGACAGTAAAGTCTGTCGTGATTCAACCAGCGATAAAAGCCAAAGGGGGAAAAAAGAGACTTTTCCTTTCGCTTGGAAAAATTAATCGTATGACATTTGATGATTTTTTTTTCCAGATTTGCCAAGTATTACCGGAATGCGGCTGGTGTTGATTTCCGAATGCTGATCAAAGCTTACGGGATCCGTTTCGATATCATGGTGAATGGCAAGGTGAGGTCAGAGGCACAGCTGGGGAAAAAACACCACAGATTTGCGATGGTGGCGAATATCTGTAGCTTGGGTATAGCATGAAGATAGAGGTTTGTTCCCCGAGGTTGTGGAAATGGTTTTCCAAACGTTTCGCTACCAGGCTAGGTAACTGGCTGAGGGGATGTTGGGGTCTGTGTTCTTCTTATTGTCAACTAAAAAAAATACTTCTTTGGTCTTTTTAGTTGCCAGCAGAAAGGGAGTGGGGGAAAGCAGTGCATTCCTTAAATGCTTCAGATAATTGCTAGGCAGCCGAAGCTGTTGGCGCACAAGATTATTACTGGAGAGCATGATTGATGACTTTTGGCTATGGATGTGTCTATACATCCAGGGGGTGGTCAGTTCAACTACCAGTTCGGCGAACCAGATGTAAATTTAACATCCGGTTCACTTGAACCGGGCCGAACCGGCTGAATCTCACTCACTGGTCTTGTGATGGTTTCCTGCTTGAACAGGGGGTGGGACTAGAAGACCTCCAAGGTCCCTTCCCACTCATATTATTCTCTGTTCTAAATATTAGAGTCCCACTGGGAGAACTGTCTTAAGGCTCAAAGCCAGGGGTGTCACACATGTGGCCCACTGACCGGATGCATCACTTGTGGGCCACACCCACCCCAGCTCCGCGAATGGGAAAAACGTTGCGATATATTACGTGACAGCAACGTGACGCAAGTTTGATACCCCATTGTCAACTCGTAAAGCATTCCTGGTCTGCCCTGAGTTGCCATAGGCAGGAGAAGGGGGGAGAACTGATGGAGCAGCTTGGTTGCTATGACCAGAAGCACATTCCACGCACACCTTTCTACAGATTGTGTCCCAGGTTACCAGAGCCAGACGGAGAGGCGTGTTTTCTACAGCCCAGGAAAATTCTCTGCTGGAGAATGTGATTTATGACACACCCTGGGTCATAGGTGGGCAGTAAATTACGTGGGGCGGAGCCAACTGCACTAGGGAAAGTGCTGACATGTTGCTCCTAATAAATAATTGGATTTCTTTTGAAACTTGGCTTGAGGCTCTTGAATTAATTAGGGCGTCCATCGGAACCCTGACACCTGTGCTCTAAGCCATTGTTTCTCAACCGTGAACACTTTAAGCTGTGTCGCCTTCAACTCCCAGAATTCTCCATCCAGTGATCCTGCTGGGGAATTCTGGGAGCTGAAGTCCACGCGGCTTAAAGCGGCCCCATTTAAGAAACACTGGTCTTAACCAGTACAGGAAGTCCTCAACTTACAACAGTTTAGTGACGGTTCGAAGATCCAATGGCACTGAAAACAGGGACTCGTGACCGTTTTTCACACTTACGACCGTTGCAGCTTTGCCACGATCACGTGATCAAAATGCAGACGCTTGGCCACTGACTCATATTTACGATGTTTGCAGTGTTCCGGGGTCACGCGGTCCTCTTTTTGCAACTGCATTGATTCACGTTAACAACTGGTGCAAGAAAGGTTGCTCACTTAGCGACTTTCTCCCTTAGCAATAGAAATTTTGGGGCTCCGTTGTGGTTGTGATGCAAGGACTACCTGCAGAAACTTTAAAATCTGGGCACATCGCACAAATTCACTTTTTCGTTTTTTTTTCTCTTTTGTTTTCTTTTCTTTTCCAGGCAGGGAAATTTAACATCATCCCAACGGTAATCAACGTGGGATCCAGTCTTGCGCTCATGGGAGTGGTAGGTCAATCATTCGGTGTGGAAGCGATCTATTGTCGGATTACAGGCCGTCCTTAGGAGTGGTGCGGTGGCCTAAGGGTGGAGTTGTCGCCTCACAATCAGGAGGCTGTGAGTTCGATCCTAGGTAGAGGCAGATATATTTCTCTCTCTGGGCACAATGAGAATATATCTGCCGAACAAAACTCCACATTGGCAACAGGGAAGGGCATCCGGCCAGTAAAACACTCGGCTAGCTCCATTCAGTTGCCCAGACTCCAGCCCACCAGGGATTATGAGTTCGTTAGAAGATGATGATTAAAAGATGACAGGCAGGCTTTGACGTACAGCCCTTCATTTAGCGATGGTTCAAAGTTACAACAGCACCGGAAACAAGTGGCTTACAACCAGTCCTCGTGCTTATGACCGTTGCAGCATTCCCACGGTCTCGGGATCATAATTCAAGGCGTTTTGATAACCAGCACATCTTTATGACTCTGGAATCATAAAGTTATGGTTCTGGAATTATATCATTATTTGTGACCTTCTCAGCTGACTTCCAACCAGCGAAGTCAATGGGGGAAATCTGGAATCGTTTAATGACCTCACGATTGACTTAACGACTGCAGTGATTCACTTAACAATCATGGCAAAAAAGGTGATTAAAATTAGGTGTGGTTCACTTAACAACAGCCTTGTTTAGCAACAGAAATTCTGCTCCTAATTGTGGCCGTAGGCCAAGGACTATGGTCTTATGTTATTATCTAATTACAGGGAGTCGAATTATGACCACAATTGAGCCCAAGACTTCTGTCACTAAGTGAAACATTTGTGAAGTGAGTTTTGCCCCATTTTACGACCTTTTTTGCCACCGTTGTTAAGTGAACCACTTCAGGGGTTAAGTTACTAACATGGTTGTTAAGTAAATCTGGCTCTTCCCTTGATTTTGCTTGTCAGGTGGTCCCAAAAGGGGATCACATGTCCTCAGGACACAGCAACGGTTGTAAGTACAAGTCAGTTGCCAAGCATTCTGATCATGTGACCACGGAGATGCTGCAATGGTCGTATGTGTGGAAAAGCGGCCATAAGTTACTTTTTCAGTGCTACCATAACTCTGAACCATCACTAAACAAAACTCTCGCATTGTATGTTGAGGGCTACCTGTATTATCTTATTGTATCCTATGTTATTAAGATATTATATATCTTACTAGCTCGATACCCGTGCTTCGCTACGAAAGTATGTGGTCGGGCTTAGTTTTTGGGGAGGAAAATAAGGGTGGAAATGTGCCTCTGCCTACCAGCATCCATCGGTATTCATCTAGCTAGCGTTCCTGTCAGTGTGTGAGAGAGTTGAGGGCTGTTTGGAAACTGAAACAGTATTTGCTGTGTGAGCAAGGAGGCAGCAAGGAGCCTGGGCGTGGCTTAGCTCAACTGTTCTGTACTAATGCTGCTTGGTGCTCTGAAACTGAAACTTGTCAGAGTATATTCATGAACTGGAATAGAACTTAGTAACAAAGTCAGCCAATGAATAGGCATGGCAACAGACCGGACAATGGGAGCTGAATTGGAAAGTGAAACTAGAAGTGGCCTGGGTGTGGCTCTAGTCTTGCTTGCTTGCTGAACTAAAGTGAAACTTGTTTGCTGAAACTAATATCTGCTGCTGCTTGCGTTTTTGCTTATGTCACATTGAAAGAATCTACAAATGGTATTGTAAACTTTGCTCATTTTATGTTTATAAAGAAGTTAGTGATCCTGCTGAATCAGTCATCTGTGTGCTTTCTGGACTTGAATTTAGGCTGCAAACTCTTAACAGAACTCCTCTCCTCTGCTTGTGTTTTGCATTTGGAAGAGATTTCTTTTCAGGTGGGGAGGGGGAACAGAACTCCTTAGCATCAGAGCGTGTTAATAACAATAATATAGGAAATACTAATAGCTCTGATGGTCATTTGGAAAAATCCTTTCTTAGTGAGCCCTTAGAAGCCAAGAGGAACATACGGGCCAAATTTCAAGTTTGTAGGCTTTAAGATTCTGGAGATTTTGTGATGATGCGTGAGGGGTCTTTCGCTTTTATATATATAGATCAGTGGTGGCTAACCTTTTTGGGCTCCTGTGCCAAAAATTGTGCATGTGCTTACACGCTCGTGCTCCCAGCACCCAGAAGGCAATGTGTGCCCCCCCTTGCCCCCTAGGCATGTGCACGCAATCCCCACCCATCCACTCGTCCCTGCCACCCCCTTACCTGCACTACACCTCACAGCTAATTTTCGGCTGGTTTGAGGCCTTTTTCGGCCTCCCAGAGGCTTGAGGAAGGCTTCTGCAGGCCGAAAACTAGCCCCGTTTCATGACTTCCGGTATTTATGGAAAAACAGGAAGTGATGAAACAGGGCTAGTTTTCGGCCTGCAAAGCCTGCAGAAGCCTTCCTCAAGCCTCTGGGAGGCCGAAAAAGGCCTCAAATCGGCCAAAAATCAGTTGTGAGGCGGTCCACATGCGCAGTGAGGTTAAGTTTGCCTGCAGCTCGTATGCTGGCACAAATGCCACCTGCGGCACGCATGCCATAGGTTCACCATCACGGATATAGGTTCATCTGATCATTTAAAGCTGCGCTTTTGGCTTTAAAAATAAAGCATAATAAAATATAATTTAAAAACCCTCATTTATTTGCACGCCACTGCAAATAAGAAACCTTTTAAAAAAGTTATGGTTAGCACGTGGATTTTCCGCTCTGTTTATCTGGAATTGTTTCTGCCATCCAACCCACCCAGGGGGCGTTTCTCTGCGACTTGGTGCTGCTGTATCTTCTCCGAAAGAGCCAGTTTTACAGGGGGAAAAAATACGAAGAAGTGAGGTAGGTTGCCTGCAGCTGCGAAGCCCTCTCGATTCATTGATTTCTTATTTCCTGACAGTGAGAAGAATTAATCAGCGGGACGACTTGCCTTCAGAAGCGCTGTGGGTGCTTTATCACTGGCGACTTTTAAGAAGAGACTGGATAGCCATTTGTCTAATGTCTGATTTAGCTGGGGGCTGGACTAGAAGACCTCCAAGGTCCCTCCCAACTCTGTAATTCTGTTCTGTGTAAAATAGTGTGTAAAAAAACAACAACTACCTATGTAGTTGGTAATAGTCTACGTTGATTTGATGGTCCATCACCAAGCAAAGTGTGTAAACCTTCCAAATGCTGAAACGGGACAAGGAAGGGAAGATTGTATCAGATCTTCCATCCTTGTGGAGGGTCGCGAGATGGGGATGCCGCTCTCAAAATGATGGGATCTAGGTCACAGGAGCCTTGAGTAATCTTAAAAAAAATCCCTTGGAACGTTGCAAAAAAACTTTAGGGAATTCCTGGAAGGTTGGCATTCAGACACAACAGCATCTACAGACACATAGAGATAAACCACATTCACACACCATTTAAAAAAAAAAGACATTAAAAAGCTAACAAGGAAATACTAATAAAATAAATCTGGAACAGATCTTTTCTAGCAATGCAGATAAGCGGGGATTAAACCATCAAAGCAGGCAAACCATCAAGCAGAGAACAATCACCAAGGAAGCACCAAGAAAATGACGCATACACCAACACCGCCAGGGCAAACTAGTGTATATATTCTAGTCTGTTTCCTTCTTAGCTTTTTATCCTCTCTTTTGGATGGCTGGTAGTCTGTTAGTGTATTGACAAACTCCACCCCAGGACAAGCTACTACCCATAGCGCTCGACTTACAACAGTTTAGTGACCATTCAGAGTTACAACAGGGCTGAAAAAAGTGACTTGTGACTATTTCTCACACTTATGGCCATTGCAGCATCCTCACATCCACGTGATTTACATTCAGATGATTGGCAGCTGGTTCATATTTGTGACGGGTTCAATTGTGGTTGTTAAGTCGAGGATTAGCTGTGTATATATAGATAAACAGATAATCAGAGTTGGAAGGGACCTTGTAGGTCATCTAGACCAGGGGTTGCCAGCCTTTTGGACCTCAGGGACCACCAAATTCATAATTTTAGATCCCAGGGACCACTAACTGGTTCTGTGGGCGTGGCCTAATTTTTGGGTGTGGCTTGGTGGTCATGTGACTGGCTGGGCATGGCTTGCATGTAAATATTATAAATATTGATATAAATATTGATATATATTTTTTTTAAAAGAGCAACTTTTACCCAAAATCAGGCAAAGCAGGCAGGCAGATTGAGTTGCTCACAGAATCACAGATTCATTCAGAAATCTATCTATCTGCCATCGGCTAGCTCAGTCTGTCACATAGAATTTGCTTGCAAGCAAACTCATAAAATTAACTCACAACACACCATGCATGTAAATATTGAATTTTTTATTAAAAAAGAGCTACTTTTACCCAAAATCAGGCAAAGCAGGCAGATTGAGTTTCTCACAGAATCATTCAGTGATCTATCTATCTGCCATCGGCTAGCTCAGTCTCTCAAATTCGCTTGCTGTGAGTCTGCACTGAATTTGCTTGCAAGCAAACCTTCAGTCCTAAGGGAGGTTCGGCTGTACTTAAAGCAGAGCCGAAGATCTAAAGACTAGCTAGAAAGCAAGAAATCCAACCATTTCCTGCTTCCTAGCTAATCTAAATCTCCCGGCACAGCAGAACAGATGATGGTCGGAAAAAGGAAAAATAGCAATTTAGCAGGTAAGTTTGCCAGGTAAAGAGTGAATGGGGCGGAGAGGGTTCCCGCAGGCCACGTGGACAGCACAGCCTTGTTTCTGTGCAGCCTGGATTAATTGCTTTGGGGGTAACTCTGGGGGTGAGATTTCTCTGCGGCCCACCAAAATTTTCTCACGGCCCACCGGTCGGTGAATGCTGATCTACACCAACCCCCCCGCCCAAGCGGGAGACCCCACACCATTTCTGACAGATGGCAGTCCAGTCTCTTCTTGAAAGTCTCAAGTGATGATAACTCCCACAACTTCCGAGGGCAACTTCTGTTCCATTGGTTGATTGTTCTCCCCACACTCAACAGTCCTGATGATGTTACCTAATTGGGTGATGAAACATCTGCTAGAAAGCCACCAAGCTTAGAGACTCCACATTTTGCTGATTTTCCCAACTTTTCCTCGTGTAGGTTAAACACCCAAAACACTTTACCGGCAAGCACCGTCGACGGGAACCAGTCAGGGAACCAGAGTGAAGATTCTTTATCTCAGTTGGATCAACCTGAAAAACTACAGACAGTCGAGACCTAATGCTGTGTTTTTCTCTGGAAACCACTCATCACAACGCCATCCGTTGTTAAGAGAAACCACGGACCACAGAAAGCTGCAGGAAGGGATTCGCTTAAACTCTTAAACTGCCTTCGTTTTCGGCATCCTGAACTTAGGATACTGCACGCGGCAGGATTTTAACGGTTTAAAACCGAAACCAAATTGCCAGGAAATCTTGAGTGAGGACCGTAGCGGTGTGGCGGATATACATTCTCTTTTGTGTGGCTTCTGGATAACCTAACACAGCAGCTGCCAAGCGTATGTCAAAAGGCCATTGAGGAGTGGAGAGGACGGTTGTCCACCTTGAAATTATTATCATTGTTCACCGCGCAGTCGACCGGATGATTAGACTGCATTTGGCATCGAGTCCTTCCCCAAGAATGGTGCGGTGGCCCAGAGGTTGCACCACAATCAGGAAGGCTGAGCATTCGATCCTAGGTAGCGGCTGATATTTCTCTCTCGGGGCACAATGAGAATGTATCTGCTGCTGCAAAAAAACAACCACCACCTCCGTATTGGCAATAAGGGCATTCGGCCAGTAAACACTCAGCCCCGTTCAGTTGCCCCGACTCCATCCCACAAGGGATTACGAGGTCATTAAATGACAACAACAAAAAGTCCTGCCCGAGACCCCAGAAAAGGCAGATGTGGATATTTGATGATGGTAAAGTTCTCGTTGCAGGATGTCAGCTATTATGAGTAAATCCGCCTTTTGCAATTGACTGTTGGCGAATTTGTCAATGCCAATGGGCCTTCAAGTGGTGCTGGGGTTGTTTTGAGTTTGCCCCCAAGGCACCTATTACTATGGATACCACCTTTGCTTTGCTTTGCCACAGTCATTTATTACAGGCAGCCCTCGACTTACAATTCATTTAGTAACGGTTCGAAGTTACAACGGCACTGAAAAAAAAGCGACTTATGGCCGTTTTTCACACTTAACGAGCTTTGCAGCAGCCCCCATGATCCTGGGATCAAAATCAAAACTGACTCATACTGGTGACCGTTCCTGTGCCCAAAGATTAATGTGTGTCAGGATTCCGGCAGTTGCCCTAATTAAATCATGAGCCTCGAGCCAAGCTTCAAATGAATTTATTGGAAGCGAACATGTCGGCAGGAGCTGGTTGAAGCCAATTTTGAGACACGTAATTCACTGTCACTAGGATGACCCAAAGGGGCATGACACAAAAGCAGCAAAGTCACAAAAGTAGGTAAAGTCCCTTTAATTCCTCCAACTTGGCCCCCAATGTCCAGTTATCATCGGCTGGAGAAAAAAAACTCTCCCAAGAACAGTTTTTAAAGGGAAGAAATTCAGTCCGAACCCAAAGTACATCTAAATTATAAATAAAAACCAACACAAACCACGCTGCAGCAATTAACGAGACAGGGCAGGATAAGGAATTGCAGACTTTCAAAAGATAACAAAATGCACATGGTTGGTAGAACGCCAGAACCCAGTTAAGACTTGACAAAGATAATGCACGCTTTGCTTCCAGCACGGTTCTGTGCGTAAACACCCTTTTTATCCTGTTTTCCCAGCTGCAGCTAATGATGGGAATCAGGGCCCCTTTCTTCCCCGTAACCCATGTTGCTCCCTTATCTGTTCCTCCCTGCGTGCCCTAGGATGAAGAAGGGATGGGCCTGGGTCTTCCTCTGAATGCCGAGTTGGACTGTGCCCTTCCCCAGTTTCCTCCACAGCCACCAGAGCCACACTCCCAGGCAGCTGTTTGACCTACCCCTCAGAATCAGATTCCTGTCACGGGGCATGATAGTCACCCTTGCCCTGGTTTCTCCCCCACCTCTTTGGATGCATCATAATTCATATTCTCCAACGAAACACATCCATAGCCAAGAGTCCCCAATCATGTTCTCCAATTAGTGTTTTGCATGACAGAAACTTCGGTCGCCTAGTTACAATCTCTGCAAATTATGAATGGAATACACTTTCGATTCCAAATTGCTGCACTGCACTTCCAAACTCCTCCCCCACTTTCCTGTTGGCAACTATAAAACAGGCATAGAAATGTTTGATGAGCTGACGTGATCCCATTTTGCAACCTCCCAACTAGCAAAGCCAATGGGGGAGCTGGATTCATTTAACAACTGTATTACTAACTTCTCAACCTCAGCGAGTCATTGTGGCAAGAAACGTCGTAAAATGGGGGCAAAACTTAACAAATGTCTCACTTAACGACAAATTTTGGGCTGAACTGTGGTCATAAGTTAAGGGCTACCTGTAATTATCAAATTTATTTGCCGTCCGTCTCGCACTTCAAAGCGACTCTGAGAATAAGGATATTCTGGAGCATATTTCTCTGGTCTTTTTAGAGTTTCCAACAGAAAGGGAGGGGGGGGGAGCAGTGCAGCAGCTTGGAAACCAAAAGTGCATTCCATAAATGTTTTCAAAGATAGTAACTAGGTGACTGAAATTTCTGCCATGGGAATATCTAACTGGATTGATGACTCTGGGCTATGGATGTGTATCATTGGAGAATTACGATACACCCAGGGAGTGTGGGAAAACCAGGGTCAAGGGTGACAGTGAATTATGCGCCTCAGAGTGGGCTACACCCAGGCAGTGCCACCATGTTAGCTCCCAATAAATCCTTCTGAAGTTTTGAAAAATTGGCTCGAGACTCATGATTTAAATGGGGGTCACTGCTGGAATCCTGACACTTGTTTGAAATTATATGATAGCAAGACTTTAACCGTCTTGCTTCCCATTCTGCTATCCGCTTTGAATCTCTTCCTGCAAATTGTTGAGCCTGTGGAATTCAAAAAATAAATTCTTGAATTCAAAATAAATTCTTGCAACATGCATAAACCATTCTCCAGCCTGTGGGATTAGGCCGGCATTCTAAATAAATTCCTGCAACGTGCATAAACAATTCTCCAGCATCCAACCAACTCATCAAACGTAACTCCACGGTGAAGATGGGCTGGTCATTGGCATGCCTTGAACCTCCACTTCAGGGAAAAAAAGAGAGACTAAATTTTATTTTTTTTCTGCAATTTACACACAACCCAGGTCTTATTTTATGACCGGTGCAGAGTGGCAAATCTCAGGAATTAAATCAATATTATCTACGGAACTACAAGCCATACTCCTGAGGGCGGCTTCACCAGGAATTTCTGTATGCTTAAAAGATAAAGTGGGTTGAACTGAAAAGTTTTAAAAAATGAACATGATTTTGGAAGAAATAGATCATAGAGGTTTTTTTAAAAAACAAACAAACTATAAAGTAAGAGAGATTGTTGTGTTTGTTATTGTGTTTCTTTTTGCAGTTTGGGCTTTTTTTCTCATTTCCTTTCCCATCTTTCCTTTTTATCAGAGGTCTTCAAACTTGGCAACTTTAAGACTTGTGGATTTCAACTCCCAGAATTTTCCAGTCAGCTATGCTGGCTGGAGAATTCTGGGAGCTGAAGTCCACAAGTCTCAAAGTTGTCAAGTTTGGGGACCTCTGCTTTACATCCTCACAGGGTGGTTATTGCGAGGAAATTAGGAGGAAGCTTTAAGTATTAAGTCACTAAGCAAATGGCTCTAAGTCGAGGGCTGCCTACAATCCAGCAACTGCTTCCTTCCTTCCCAAACAGCAGATCTACAACCCCCGTCAATGCAAGCACTCGACTTATGACCGTTAAGGAGCCTGCCCATGAGTCATAAGTTGTGACGGTTGTAAAGGGGGACATCCACCCAATTTTATGACCGTATTTTTTGGTTGCCACCGTCGTTAACTGTTTGCTATGGGCCGTTTTTGCCCGAACCTGGAAATAAAATGGCAAGTACGTTGTAATTCATGGTCATGTTAAACACAGAATACAGAAAACAGCAGTAAATGCGGGCTGGTTTACTAATCAGCTAAAATGCAGTTGTGTCAGTAGGGGGAAGAGTGTGTGTCAGAACTGGGTCGTAGATTTCACTGTGGAGGTGAGTGAATACAGGTCAAGGTGAGTGAACACACAATCAAGATCAGGTGAAGGGTTATTACTGCTTTATAAGGCCTTGGTAAGGCCATACTTGGAATATTTTCACCCAGTTTTGGTCACCACGATGTAAAAAAGAGGTTGAGACTCTAGAAAAAGTGCAGAGACGAGCAACCAGGATGATTAGGGGGCTGGAGGCTAAAATATATGAAGGATGGTTGCAGGGAATGGGTATGTCTAGTTTAATGAAAAGAAGGATTAGGGGAGACAGGATAGCAGAGTCTTCCAATATTTGAGGGGCTGCCACGAAGAAGGCTGGGGAATTCTGGGAGTTGAAATCCACGGGTTTTAAAGTGGCCAAGCTTGAACATCTCTTAACACAGACCGAAATTTACAGTTTCTTTGCTGAGATACGGAAGCAATGAATGCAAATGGGAGATTGTGACCAAAAAATAATGCATTTGCATGTTTCCCCCTGAATTTTGATTTCACAAAAGTACCAGCGAAGAAGCATTGAGGTGCAGTCAGAAAAGGAAAATCCTTTGATTTTTTTCCCCCCCAAGACCTCTCCTGTGTCTCCAAAGTGGACTTTGCAAAAAAAAAAATACTTTGCTGTCTATTTATAAAAGCTGGGCTACGTGGGCTTTTACAAATGCAAAGAAAAGGAAGAGAGCAAAAAGTTTGTGGTCGTTTCTGTGTAACTTCAACCTTCCCTAAAAAGGAACCAGAACTGTCAAAAAAATCCATTTTAACAGCCTGTTTCTCATCACTGCCAGCCAGGATCCTGTTAAGCCTAGATTAAGAATGCAACATCTCGGTCTGTTTACTGGACAAATAAGCCTTTTCCACTATTGTTACCAATAGCCACTGATTTAACTCAAGATTCCAGAAATTCATCTGTTTTTCTTTTAAGGTAAAAAATCTGGAGCCTGATGGCAGCTTTTCCCACTAATATTTTTTAAAATTATAACGCGTAGTTTTTTGTTTAGGACTTTCAATAATATTTGTTAGAAAAAAAGCAAACAGCCCCCAAACCACCTCAAAATGACCTATTTCTCCACCTTGCTTCTGGTGCCCAGGACAATTTGCTTTCTGCTAGATTTTTCCTGAGTGTGACTTTTAAGTCTGAGAGTCTGAATTCAGTGTACTTTCATTGTTTCAGCATCTCCATCCAGAAATCTCTGCACAGAGAATCCTAAATACACAAAAATGTGAGGATGAATTTAGAAAGCTTACCACCTTAAATCTCAAAAAAAAAAAAAAAAAGAATAGGTAAAATTGTGGCACATCAAGCATGACTAAAATATAAGTATAACCAGAGGACTGCTGAGAAACAGAAAATGACAGAATAACTGGGATTTTTTTTTAAGTTAAAGGAGAAAAAGATGTATAAATAGCGGAAGAGGAATGCATTAGACAAATAACATTTAACCATGTGTGTAGAAAAAAAAAAGAATGAGAATATTTGTAGTTCAGGACTGAATTGTGGGGCCCTTGGTGTTCTCCGAGCTTGGTGGTTTTCTTGCAGACGTTTCACGACCCGAATAGGTAACATCATCAGTATGTGTGATGGTGGGATTTGCTGCCTATTTATATATAGTAAGCTTGCCCTGGGGTAGAATTCGTTAAAAGACAAATAGACTATCAGCTATCAATAGATACGTAGAGATGAAGCACATTTACATACCATTCAAGAGAGACAATTAAAAGCTAAGAAAGAAATGAAAAGACCAGAATATATTCTCTCTGTCGACACTCAGTTAAGAAGGAATTAACACCAAACAAGCAAGCAGAGAACAAAACCCTGTGTGTGTGTGTATGTGTGAGAGAGAGACAGAGAGGGAGAGGGAGAAGGAGGGAGAGGGAAGGAGGGAGAGAATATGAGAATATATCCTGGCAGGGCATATGCTACTATATATTAACAGGGAGCGATTCCCATACTTTCTAGCACTGATGATGTTACCTGGTTGGGTAATGAAATGTCTGCAAGAAACCAAGCCCAGAGAACACCTAACAGTCATCCTCCTCCTCCCTGCACACACCACTCCGTTCTAGCACTGAAGACGTTATCTAGTTGGGTAATGAGATGTCTGCAAGAAAACCACCAAGCTCAGAGAGAACCACAGAAGTGGCATGATCCCTCTGGCTTCTGTTGCATTACATCTTCTTGATTTAGCCTTGCACCTTGTTCCCAGCAGCATTTGAGAGGCTCAAAAATAAAGTCAGCAAAGGAACTCTCCCCCCCCCCCGCCAACCCCTGCTTGAATTCCAAAATGATATGTTGATATTTATAGTTTCCTGGGACTTACCAAGACCCAAGCAACTGGAAAGGCAATTTGATTCTCGCTTAAGAAGTGAGATACTCAGCGCTGTCACTTTAGAACTATCATGGCACAAAAGTTAAAAGAATGAGAAGTCATAAATCCTGACTATTTCATTCTTGAATCCAGGGAAGCTGTAAAGCTCTCCCTCCCCCCCCCCTCTCTCTCTATCTATCTATCTATCTATCTATCTATCTATCTATCTATCTATCTATGCACTATCTCATGGGTCTCCGAATTTGGCAACTTGAAGACTTCAACATGTCTGGCTGAGGAATTCTGGGAGTTGAAGTCCACAAGTCTTCCAAGTTGCCAGGTTTGGAGACCCCTGCATTACCTTGAGTAGGTATGAGAGAACTGGGTCTCTACCAAACTTGAGGTGATGGGTAGCAAAGGTCAAGATCCAGCATCCATCACCTTTGGCCACGCTGGCTGGGTTTATGAACATGGAAATCCCACCCACCTGCCCCACTTCAAAATAAAACTCCCACCGAACTCCTTGCAAATGTTTACTTGGAAGTAGCTTCAAGCCAAACGTCCCTCAATCCCCGCCCCCCTCCCCACCTACCTAGGGATAGGTTCAGGGAGGGCGAAAAATAGGCCACCTGGAAATGGGCCTGTTTCCGGCCTCCAGAGCCCCGGGAGGCCATTTTCACCCTCCCAGAGGCTTGAGAAAAGCCTCTGGAGTCTGGGCAGAGCAAATATGCCCCCCCCCAGTGCAGGAGGCCAACTAGGCCACACCCACCATGGCCATGTCCACCCAGCAACGGGGCAGAGGAACCCCTTGCTAAAAAACTTTTTGAATCCCACCCCTGTACCTGCCCCCTTACAGCCTGCCTGTAAACAAGGCTGTGAAAACGCTTGGTTTTCCTTCTGAAGTCTTTTCAATCAAGGTGCACACAAAACCGCTCAAGCACGGGATTATTGATATAGATATTATTATTATTTTTTTCCTCTCCAAAATAGTAGATCTGGTTACACAAGCAATGAAAGTCTCCAAAAGAGTCGGGCTAAGGGGGGTTAAGGACAGAGTTCTAGCAGCTTGGTGGCGAGAAAAGATAAACCGAGAAGAATTGGGACGTCCCTCCGGACATGGAGGATGGGTTATTTACAAGCCATTTTTTAAAATCTGAAGGGTGGGGGGGGCAGCGTTTCACATTCTGTTTCATGAGCAGGCTTGCCTTTCTGACGTATGTTAGGGAGCGTGTGTGAAGAGTGCAAGCAATGGGCCAGGATCCCCGGCTCTAGGGCAACCGAGAGGAGCGGGCTTGTCTCTCCTCAGAGCTTGTTCTGACTAGGATGCCTCCTTCCTCCACCTAGTAAACGTGTACCATGCCATAGAGGAAAGTCCAGAAGAGAATATATGTGAATAACCCCCCGATCAGTCCTCCGGTAAAGAGAGGCCTTCGGGATTTAAAATATTTGCTCCATCGCCGCCCGGCTTTGAGCACCAGAAGCACGGAGAGTAAGACGGAGGCCAGGAAGTAGAAGATGAAGCCGTAGAGGCCGTTGAGGCCGAGAATGCCGGCGGTGGCTCCCGAGAGAGCGGAGACGGACGTCCTGCAATAATCCAGGATGGCTGCATTTCCCCGGACAGCCGCTTCGCTGATGAACTGGGGGCCTTCGCGTTTGGCCACCACTGCGGCCATGGCTTCTTCGGCGGGGAGCGGTGGGTGGGGCAGCTCTTTCCTTTCAGGGCTTTCTGCAAGGGAGAAATGGAAATCATTCAGATATTTTTACAATACTAGACAACACAGTATCAACGGTAGAGACCTTCAAATTTCTAGGCTCTTATCATATCACAAGATCTAAAATGGACACCTAACATCAAAAACGTCATCAAAAAAGAACAAAGAAGGTTCTTTCCGCACCAACTCAGGAAGCTCGAACTGCCCAAGGAGCTGCTGATCCAGTTCTACAGAGGAAGGATGGAGTCTGTCATCTGCACCTCTATAACTGTCTGGTTCGGTTCTGCAACCCAACAGGACACAGACTCCAGAGAGGAATTAGGACTGCAGAGAAAACAATTGCTACCAACCTGCCTTCCGTGGAGGACCTGTATCCTGCACGAGTCAAAAAGAGGGCTGTGAAAATATCTACACACCCCTCACAACCTGTTTCAACTCCTTCCCTCAAAACGATGCTATAGGGCACTGCACACCAGAACTAGACACAAGAACAGTTTTTTCCAAAAAGCCACCCTTCTGCTAAACAAATAATTCCCTTAACACTGTTCAACTATTACAAAGTCTGCATTGCTATTGCTATTAATCTTCACGTCACTCCTTATCACCCATCCCCTCCCACTTGTGACTGTATGACTAACTTTGTCGCTTGTATCCTTACAATTTATATTGACTGTTTCCTAGTATGATTTGATTACTTATTGTACCCTATGACTATTATTAACTGTTGTACCTGATGATTCTACAAATGTATCTTTTTTTTAGGTACACTGAGAGCATTTGCACCAAGACAAATTTCTTATATGTCCAATCACACTTGGCCAATAAAGAATTCTATTCTATATGCAGATTTGTTTCTTGGAAACCCAAAAGACCGTCCTTCCAGAGAGCCAGGTTAACAAATGAGAAACAGATTTTACTGATCTATTAAAGAGATCAAGGTGGCAAACATATCGAACACACCATTTTCCTGTTTTCCCTGCAACTACAACCCTAGGTTGGTCTAACAGAGTGTGACTGGCCCAAGATTACCCAGCTAACTTTAATGCTTAAGGAGGGACTAAAACTCACTGTGTCCTGGTGATTGGCCCAAAGTCATGCAACCATCATTCATGGCTAAGGCTGGACTAGAACTCACCATCTCCCACTTCGTAGCCTGGTGTTTTAAGCACTAGACCAAAGTAGCTCTCAAATTAATAAGAAACACAGCCCTACAATGAATAGCAAGCCACTTAAAAGAACTCACCTGTAAAATAACATGTGAATTTGTTTTTGAAGTAAAAAAAAAGACCTCTTTTGAAGTAGAAGACACAATTATAAATAAAACAGGAAGGAGAAGAAATATTTGAGCTGCTTCAAGCTCAGTGAAAAACAAATTATATATTCATTCAATTTTAAAAACCACCTATCTCAGCCAAGTGACTCTGGGAGGTTTACACTTCTAAAACCACAGAACAGTTAAAATGACGAAAACCATCCAGAGAATATGACCAATAACCCAATATTTAACAAAAAGATTTAAACTTGACTTCTTTATCAGGAGAGAAACATTTTATGGGGTTTTGAAGGAAACTGGATTTTTTAAACTTTCTATCTCATGGCACCCTGAATAATTATTTTGTGCTGTGTTTCTACCCAAAAGTCAGTTTTAGAAGTTCAGGGCTGAGCCATTCTTTACACAGTAGTGTTTTCTATGTTGTCTGCTATACCTACCAAATCCTTTTTGACTGAAACAAGAACAAACAACAAGGCTATAAGATACCAGGGCCTGTCCATACACTTTATGAACAGATTAGATTATGAACCAGGGAGACCATGTCCTTTTGTGAACTCATGCAGTCTTTACTCTTTTGCAAAACAATATTCTATAGGCCAGCAATATTCCTGCCTCTTACAACAGTGAAAAGACTACAAGTAATCCTTGACTTATCACAGTTCATTTACTGACCGTTCAAAGTTACAACGGCACTAAAAAATTTTGACGTATGACCATTTTGCACGCTTACGACCATTGTGGCATCCCCATGGTGTGATCAAAATTCAGATGCTTGGCCATTGGTTCATATTTATGACCGCTGCTGTACCCTAAGATCATGGGGTCCCCCTTTTGCAACCTTCTGACAAACAAAATCAACGGGAAGCCAGATTCACTCAGCAACCGGGATGCTAACTTAAAAGTTCCAGTGATTCACTGAACAATTGTGGCAAGAAAAGTTGTACAACGGGGTAAAACTCTGTTAGGGATATACACCCTAGCAGAATCTGCACGGTAGTCAGGCAGGCAGGCAAATATGTGAGACAAACGTTTTTTGTAGCTTACACTCAGTAAAACAGATACACTGTGCTAGTTAAATAGTTTATTCCAGTAAAGAGTTTTAGCATAGTCAAACAGTCCATATATCATACACTAGTTCAGTCCGCCCGGGGATTAATCAGTTGCAAAGTCCAATGTCGAAAAAGAGGTCAGTAAACTTACAATATCAGTCCAGTAATATATCTCTTCGCAGTAGAGATATGAAGAAGTAAAACCTCTTTTCTTCCTTCAGCAACAGCAGAGAACACGCAGTTAACAATCCATCATCGTCAGCAAGCAATCCAGTAAGCCAGCAATCAATCCAGTTCTCTTGCTCCCTCTTATGGCGATTTACAGCCGCACCCAAAATTACATGCTTTGCAGTTAAAGTGACACACACTTAAATTCACTATCATAGTTTATATATATTATTTTACCCAAACTACGTTAGGTAACCATGTTATTCCTAACAAACTCACTTAACAAATGTCTCACTTAACAACAGAAATATGGGGCTCAGTTGTAGTCGTAAGTCGAGGACTACCTGTGTACACATTTTGCATAATTACTCAACTCTGGCACTTAGACAACCATCCTGACATTAGGCAGTTAATGGAAACATCGTGCTTTCAGTCCCAAAGGTGCTTTTTTCAAGAGGCAACAGGACTTTCTGGTTTTTCTTGGAAGACATTTCACTTCTCATCCAAGAAGCTTCTTCAGCTCTGATCGAATGATGGTGAATGTAAGGATTTCATTCAGACAATCCCCACCATCCAGGTCAGAGCTGAAGAAGCTTCTTGGATGGGAAGTGAAAAGTCTTCAAAGAAAAACCAGAAAGTCCTGTTGCCTCTTGAAAAAAGCACCTTTGGGACAACCAAGATCTGAATGACTGAGAATCTCCATGGATATCATGCTTTCAGCTGAAAAGCTACAGCTACAATTTAAAAGGATTGGTTCAATCGATGTCCTAATATTATGGTTCCTGTTTGCTTTAATTTAGGATGGACTGCGGTAACATAACATGTTCTGAGTGGGACTTTATGTCAACCTTCTAACTACAGTAGAGAACAGATGAAGCAACCAATTCCCTTATGTCCTTGGCTTACAGCCATTCATTTAGTGAATGTTCAAAGTTACAACAGCACAAAGTGGCTTATGACTGCTTTTCACATTTACAACGGTTGCAGCAGCCCCGTGGCTCACGTGATCAAAATTCAGATGCTTGGCAACTGGCATGTATTTATGACAGTTGCAGTGTCCCGGAGTCTTGCAATGCCCTTTTGGGACCTTGTGACAAGCAAAACCAGACGAAGCCAGTTGCTAAGTGAAACAATTATGTTACTAACTTAACAGCACTGATTCACTTAAGCAAGAATAGATGTGATGACCCCGGAGCGTGGCAGGAAGGCAACACAGCCAGAGAACAGGTATGAGTCCCTTTATTTGCTCCAACTTTGCTCCCAACATCCTGTTTACTCTCCAGCTGGGAGAAAAGCTCTCCCACGAACCTGCAACAGCCTCTGGCTGCAGATACTCCAGTCCAAACACTGTAAGCAGAATGACTGCAATCACTCCAGCAGAACAAGATAGCGAAGAATCACCTCAATAATTCCAGCAAGGCCAGACAAGCACGGCAATAATTCAAACAGCCAGGATGAATGCCAGGAATGCGGGCCACAACTCTCAACACTAGATGAATTCAGCGTTTGTTCCCGACAAACGCCCCTCCCAACGGCCTCTCCTTTAAACTCCATCCTCACGTGTGCCTTGTGAAGGGTATGGGGGGGGGGCTTTCCTTCCTTGTAAGTCACACAACCCACATTGCTTTCTTCTGCGCACCCTAGAATGAAGAGGGGACGGGCCTTGGTCTTCATCTGAACCCCTCTCTCCTCTTCTACCTCTCCCGTGCTGTGCCCAGCCTGACTCTGCCCTTCCCCAGTTTTCTACACAGCCAACAGAGCCACTTTCCTGCTCTTTTGTCAGCTGTTCGTCTTCCCCCTCAAATTCAGACTCCGATGGGGGCATGACAATAGAGTAAAAAGAGTTGGAAGGGACCACCTTGGGTTCAAATTGTGGTCATAAGTTGAAGGATACCTGTAATGGGGCTTAAAATCCAGACGAACTTCTGTCTCACTGTAAGTTTTTCAGGTAGTTGCCCTCTCTCTTTTGATTTAGCTTCTAACTGGCCATTACTTTCAGTAACAAACAAAAATAAAAAAGATAAATCAATACAGGTAACCCTCAACTCACAGCCACTGTTTATAAGAGCCTAATCTTTCCTTATGGTCCAGACACTTTTTCTGGTTTTGTGTGGTCATACAGCACATAAACTACTAGGGGGTGCTGACAAATTTATTTATTTGTCAGATCCCAACAGTGCTGCTGACAGGTGGAAGTTCAACAGGGCTGCTTCATGCCAACTCAATGCAGTCTCAGGTATTCCTTATACAAGTAGTCCACAAGGTACAGCAGTTCACTTAGCGACCGTTTCAAATTACAACGGCACTGAAAAAAATGACTTATGACCAATATGCTGCATCTCCATGGCTACGAGATTTATACTCGTGCTGCTTGGCAGCTTATTCATATTTACGGCGGTCACAGTGTCCCAGGGTCATATGATCCCCTTTTGCGACTTTCAGATAAGCAAAGAATAGGGAAGCCAAATTCATTTAACAACTGAGTTACTAATTTACTGTTAGCCTCCAAGTATCCTTCTTTTGCTTGTCTTTTCTGGCTGCCATAGATGGAATCCTAAGTTGCATTAACAGAGGGATACAATCAAGATCAAGGGAGGGACTAATGCCACTCTATAAAGCCTTAGTAAGGCCACACCTAGAGTACTGCATCCAGTTTTGGTCACCACACTATAAAAAAGATGTTGGGACTCTAGAAAAAGTGCAGAGAAGAGCAACCAGGATGATGAGGGGACTGGAGACTAAAACATACGATGAACGGTTGCAGGAACTGTGCATGGCTAGCCTAGGGAAGAGAAGGATCAGGGGAGACAGGATAGCATCTTCCAATATTTGAGGGGCTGCCACAGAGGAAGGGGGTGGTGGTCAAGCTATTTTCCAAAGCACCCAAAGATCAGACAAGGAATAATGGATGGAAACTGAACAAGAAGAGATTCAACCTGGAAATAAGGAGAAATTTTCTGACAGAGAGAACAATCAACCCATGGAACAGAAGTTATGGGAGCTTCATCACTTGAGACTTTCAAGAAGAGACTGGACTGCCATCTGTCAGCAATGGTGTAGAGTCTCTTGCTTGGGCAGGGGGTTGGACTAGATGATCTATAAGGTCCCTTCCAATTCTGATTATTTGTTATCTGTAAACGGGGAGGGAAGAATAATTGGGCCTCGTGGGGGGAAGGGTGCTGGAGGATGAAGTTGGTGAATTGTAAAATAGTTGGGATAGTTTCTTGATTATGCTTACTGTGCAGATGTAGCCTCTTATCTGTTCAGGCCAAGGTCAACCGTCTTTGCATACCAGATGTGTGAAACGCCACATGAAGATGCACCCACACAACATTATACACATCTCAGATTGGATGGCCAGTTTGAACTATTGGGGGTGGGAATATGGGGTAACTTTCTATATGTGATTTTTGTGCCTATTGCCTCAGATCTTGTATTTCTTCTGATGCTACCGCTTCAATTTTCAATAAAAGTCCTTTCCTCTATAACAATGGAGTCTAAGGTTTTCTTTCTTGGATTTTGAATGGAGCTTCACCTGACATTTATTTACCAACTGCAGTGATTCTCTTCATCATGGTGGCTGGAAAGGTTGTAAAATGGGCCAGAACTCACTTAACAATGATCTCACCTCACAACAGAAATTTTGGTTGTGGCCGTAAGTTGAGGACTACCTGTATTGCAAATGGTGATCACCTGACACTGCAAGCTTCATAAATACATGCTGGTTGCCCACTGCCCAAATTCTGATCATGTGACAGCAGGAAGGCTGCGATGAATCATTAAGTGTGAGGACTGATTATAAGTCACTTTTTTCAGTGCCATCATAACATTGAGCGGTCATTGAACAAATGGTTGTATGTCGAGTCTCTCTTGCTTACCCAAGATCGTCTCTCCAAAGACAGATTCACTTAACAACTGTGTGACTCACTTAGCAACTGCAGGGATTCGCTTAATAACAGTGGCAACAACGGTTGTAAAATGGAGCAAAACTCACTTAAACTGCCTCACTTAGCGACATAAATTCTGGGCTCCATTGGGGACGTAAGTTGAGGGCTACCCGTCCAGTAGCAGAAAATGCAAAGGGTACATTAAATATCTTATTTAAAGGCAGAAAAGGCACCCCCCCCCCCTTTTAAGGCCCCTGTAGTGACGTCACACACGTGAGAAAGTTCTCAGCAACGACCTCAAAAAACCGACCCTCTTCATAGAAATTTTAAAAATATCAGGCAAGTTTCTTAAGTCTCTTTTTCCCTACCGACTTAAACCCAAACCCCCTCTTACCTCGCTAATGTATTTTTCTCCCCTCAGCTGTCGCCCAACCACTTTCGCCTCCGCCGACCTCACCGCAAAGAGGGAGATGCCGCCATCTTGGAACAGAAAAGGATTCTGGGAGCGACGGCGTTCCCACGCACGCACACGACGTCGCACAGGCCGCTCCTTCTCCGCGCGTCTTCCATAGATAGAGCTTGGGGCGGACCCTTCGGCAAAAAGGCCGCTTGAGGCAGGGAGGCCACAGAGACGGAGAGGCCTAGAGCGCCCCCGCTCCTTCTCCGCGCGTCTTCCATAGATAGAGCTTGGGCGGACCCTTCGGCAAAAAGGCCGCTTGAGGCAGGGAGGCCATAGAGATGGAAAGGCCTAGAGCGCCCCCTCCGCCCGGCCGGATTTTCCTCCCCCTTGGTGAAATGTGGACAACGTCCCTTTACAGAAGAGCCTTCGGCCCCGCCCACGTGGTAAGCCCCGCCCACTCGGCAAACCCCCTTCCCTCCGAGGGACTCATGAGAAGGGGGGGGCGTGGCCAGCGGAAAGCCGCGAGAGGGGGGGCGGGGCCTGACAGGGCGGTGGGCGTGACCGCGAGGGAGGGAGGGGGCGGAGCCTCGCCCGCCCGCTCCCTCAGCTTTTGTTCCGCCTGAGGCGAAGCGACGGGAGCGGCTTCAGCGGTGATTGAATCCGGAGCCATGTCCTACATCCCGGGCCAGCCCGTCACGGCCGTGGTGGTAAGCCAAGCCTTTTTTTCCCCGCCCTTTTCCTGGTCGGACTACAAAGCCCATCCTCCGCGGCCTGCGTCGGACGTCGGGCATCGGAGTCCAAGGGGGGCGTGTGGGGGTTGGGTCGGGGCAGAGGTGTGTGTGGGGGGTGGGAGGACGGATCCCTTGTTTTGGGCTCTTGTTTGCCTCCCTCCCCCGCCCCCCCCTCAACCTTCCCGCGAGTCCGTTCCCACGACCTGCAGACGCGTGTCAGCCTGTCTGGCGCGCGGGAGGGGCCCAGGCGTGTTGTGGGGGGGAAGGGGAGGGTCGCGCGTGGGCAGGCGAGGCGTCCGTGGAAGGGACCGGGAAGGGACCCCCCCGAAGAGCCGTCCCCCCCCGGGGCTGGGGTACACCCCCCCCCCCCCCCCCCCCCCCCCAGCGGACGCCGGTTCTCACGCTCGGGAAGCTTTCTTGGGGGGGGGGATTTAGTCCTCATCGCCTCCCAGCCTTGGTGGAGTTGGAAGTCCGGCTTTCGTGAGAAAGCGACGCTGAGAAAGTCCGCTCCGAGCCCGGGAGGGGTCGGCTGGCGGGGCGTTTTCCCTCCCGCTTAGGGGGCTGCAACTTTCCCCCTTTCTTTGGGGGGGGAGGGGGCTTCCTTCCTTCTTTCCCCCTCTTTCTTCTTCCTTCCTTTCCTCCCGTTCTCCTTCCTTTTCTCCTTCCCTCCCTCCCTTTCGCCTCCTCCCCCTTCCTTTCTCCTGTTCCTCCCTTTCTCCTTCCTTCTCCTTTTACTCCCTCCTTTTCTCAAGCTTTCCTCCTGTTCCCATTCCTTTCTCCTCCCTCTCTCCCTTCCATTCTTCTTCCTCCCTCCCTCCTTTCCTCCTTCTATTCTTCTTTTCTCCTCCCTTCCTCCTTTTCTTTCCTTCCTTTCCTTCTCTTTTCATTCCTCCCTTCTTTTCTCCTTCCTTTCTCCTGTTCTCCTTTCCTCCTCCTTTCCTCCTTCCTTTGTCCTATTCTCCTTCCTTCCTTTTGTTTTCATTTCTCCCTCCTTTTCTCCTTCCCTCCCTCTCTCCCTTCCATTCCCTTTCTTCTGATCTCCTTCCTTCCTCCCCTTCTCTTTCCTTCCTTGCTCGCTCTCTTCCTCCTTTTCTCCTTCCTTCTTCCTTCCCTTCCTTTCTCCTGTTCTTCCTTCCTCCTTTCCTCCTTCCTTTCTCCTATTCTCCTTCCTTCTGTTTTCATTCCTCCCTCCTTTTCTCCTTCCCTCCCTCTCTCCCTTCCATTCCTTTTCTTCTGATCTCCTTCCTTCCTCCCCTTCTCCTTCCTTTCTTTTGTTTTCATTCATCCCTCCTTTTCCCTTTCCCTCTCTCTCTCCCTTCCATTCCCTTTCTTCTGATCTCCTTCCTTCCTCCCTTTCTCCTTCCTTCCTTGCTCGCTCTCTTCCTCCTTTTCTCCTTCCTTCTTCCCTCCCTCCCTCTCTCCCTTCCATTCTCCTTTCTTTCTCCTGTTCTTCCTTCCTCCTTCCTTCCTCCTATTCTCTTCCTTTTGTTTTCATTCCTCCCTCCTTTTCTCCTTCCCTCCCTCCCTCTCTCCCTTCCATTCCCTTTCTTCTGGTCTCCTTCCTTCCTCCCCTTCTCTTTCCTTCCTTGCTCGCTCCCTTCCTCCTTTTCTCCATCCTTCTTCCTTCCTTCCCTCCCTCTCTCCCTTCCTTTCTCCTGTTCTTCCTTCCTCCTTTCCTCCTTCCTTCTGTTTTCATTCCCCCCTCTCTCCTTTCCATTCTCCTTCCTTTCTTCTGTTCCTCACTTTCTCCTTTCTCCCCCCCTCCCTCCCTCCCTTTCTTCCTTCTCTTTCCCCCACAACACAACAACTCTCAGCTGGGTGGGGCTGTGTGAGAGTGACTGACCCAGAGTCACCCATCCAGCTTTCATGCCTAAGGCAGGGCTAGAATTCCCATCTCCTGGTTTCTGCACCCCAAGGGCTCTCAATTGCCTCCCTTCCATCCTCTCTTCTCCCCACTGAATCCCCTTCCCCTGTTGTCCCCCCAAAATGCTTTTTTTTTTCAAAACTGGATTTTCTTATTTATTTTTTTCTTTGAAGATGTTTTGCTTCTCACGTGAGAAGCTTCTCAGCTCTGACTGGATTCTGGGAAGGATTTAGTATAAATGACCAGCTGTCTGCAAAAAAAAGTATAAATCCTTCCCTTCCCCACCATCCAGTAGAGCTGAAGAAGCTTCCTGGATGAGAAGCGAAATGTCTTCAAAAGAAAAACAAAACAAAAACAGAAAGACCAGTTGCCTCTTGGAAAACAAACACCTTTGGGACAACTGTGGCCTGGACTGGAGGACTGAGAACCTCCCGTCTGTAGACCTTCAGCCCGTTCTCGCAGGGCACACCCTGTAGACCAAAGGCCTTCAAACGTGGCAAGTTAAATGCGACATGGGAGAGGGGGTACAAATGGGTGAAGGATAAGGATAAAAATAATGTATAGTCACAAAAGAAGAAACATGTATATACAATGACACAATAACTGTTAATGGAAATGAGATTTTTGTATTTTTTGATTTTAAAGAATAAAAATTAAAAAAAAAACACTTGGCAAGTTAAAGACTTGTGGACTTCAACTCCCAGAATTCCTGAGCTAACATGACTGGAGGAGGAATTCTGGGAGTTGAAGTCCACAACTGTTAAAGCTGTCAAGTTTGAAGACCCCTGCTCTATTCTCCTATTCTATTCTATTCTATTCTATTCTATTCTATTCTATTCTATTCAAATTCTTATTCAAATTCTTATTCTATTCTTATTCTTGTTCTATTCTCGATTCTAAGGTCTTCAAACTTGGCAAGTTAAAGACTTGTGGACTTCAACTCCCAGAATTCCTGAGCTAACATGACTGGAGGAAGAATTCTGGGAGTGGAAGTCCACAACTGTTAAAGCTGTCAAGTTTGAAGACCCCTGCTCTATTCTCCTATTCTATTCTATTCTATTCTATTCAAATTCTTATTCAAATTCTTATTCTATTCTTATTCTTGTTCTATTCTCGATTCTAAGGTCTTCAAACTTGGCAAGTTAAAGACTTGTGGACTTCAACTCCCAGAATTCCTGAGCTAACATGACTGGAGGAGGAATTTTGGGAGTTGAAGTTCACAAGCCTTAAAGCTGTCAAGTTTGAAAACCCCTGCAGTGTAGACCCTGCTTCATCTTTGCTGCCACCCGCCTTGGGATGCTTTGCATTGGCGTCTTACACGCCTTAAATTCCCAGCATGATGGGCTTAAAAGCAACTGGGATCCAGTACTCCACTCTGCAGGAAAACCCACTCAAACTATAGTTTTGTGGGAGCTTCATCACTGAAGGCTTTCGGGGAGAGATTGGACTGCCATTTGTCGGAGGTGGTTTAGAATCTCCTCCTTGGGGGGGGGGGGGGTTGGACTAGATGACCTCAAAGATCCCTTCCAACTCTGTTAATCTAATCAAACTATACTTTTGTGGGAGCTTCATCCCTGGCGGCTTTCGGGAAGAGATTGGACTGCCATTTGTCGGAGGTGGTGTAGAATTTCCTCCTTGGGGGTGGGTGGGGGTTGGACTAGATGACCTACAAGATCCCTTCCAACTCTGTTTAATCTGATACTCCAGAGGCGGCTGACCAGCTATTCTTAAAACCCTCCAATTTCTGCAATCTCGCCGTTTCCAAGTTGCAGTCGCTTGGAAAGCAAACCCCTTCTGCGACATCTCTATGGAGATTCTCCATCCTTCGTGGTCATGGTTGTCCCAAAGGTGTTTTCCAAAAAAAACAAATTGATTTTTTTTGGGTTTTTTTCTCCCCCTTGGGAAATGTTTCGCTCCTCCCCCAAGAAGCTTCTTTGGTTCCTTTTGAAAACACCTTTGTTTTCTCCAAAAGCAAAGGCTGGAAGGGGTCATTTACAGGGAATTCTCGACTTATGGTTCATTTAGTGACCTTTCAAAGTTACAACGGCACTGAAAAAATGTGTATTTCCACAGTTGCGACCTTTGCAACATTGGGCGGGGGGGTTGGACTAGATGACCTACAAGATCCCTTCCAACTCTGTTAATCCAATCCCCGTGGTTGTGTGATGATCAAAATTCAGAGGCTGGGCAACAGGTTCATATTTATGACAGTCGCGGTATCCCCTGGGGTCATGCGATCCCCTTTTGCGACCTTCCGACAAACAAAGTCAACGGGGAAGCCAGATTCACTTAACAATGGGGCTACTAACTTATCCACTGCAGTGATTCTCTTAACAACAGTGGCAAAAAAAGTCATAAAATGGGACAAAACTCATTTAGCAATGGAAGTTTAGGTCTGAAATCTCTATATATAAAAGCGAAATCCCACTCACGCATCATCACAAAATCTCCATGTAAAGCCTACAAACTTGAAATTTTGGCACATATTTTTCTTTTGGCTTCTAGGTGCTTACTAAGAAAGGATTTTTCAAAATGACCATCAGAGCATTCGTATTTCCTATATTATTATTATTATTAACACGCTCTGATGCTAAGGAGTTCTTCTTTCTCTCCTCGCCTGAAAAGAAATTTCTTCCAAATGCA